CCCGGGCCTGCCCTGCCGGCCACACCCCTGGGGCGCGCTGAAGCGGTGATTGAGACTGGGCCTCGTGGTGCGTGTTTATAATCCCAGCACTGGGGAGGCTGTAAACAGGAGAATCACTACGAGTTCAATCTAGTAGTGAGACTTGAACACCCTGTAGACCCTTCCCTAACATACAGAAAAAAAAAAAAAAAAAAAAAAAGGAAGGACAAACTTGAGTAGTTTTGAGGTAAATGGATGTACTTTGAAAATATAACCTGAAGTTAAATAAAGAGAGCACACAAGTTTAAATATCACATTGCTTCTCTGGTGTAAAAAACTCGAAAAATAAATAAGGAGCATAATGGAAGATAGGTATTGGGAAGTAGGAAGAACATGCTCAAATGGGAAAGGAAAAAAGGGGAGGAGAATTGGAGAAAAAAATTAAGGTATATTATGTACAGGTACAAATTTCTATGATGACTATGATCATATATAACAAATATTTACTAATTTTTTAAAAATTAAAAATAAAATACACAATAGACTATTAGCCATAAAGACGAATGAAACTCCCATATTTGTAGGGAAATGGATTGAACTGCAGGACATCATATTAAGTAAGATTTAGAAGGACAAGTGTCATTTTTCCCCTAATATGTGGAATCTAAAAATATAAAGATAATATGAAAGAAGGGATACCAATATTAGGCAAGAGAAAATGAAAAAGGGCAGTAAGAGGGACAGATATGACTAAAATACATTATATGTATGTATCAAATCTTGAGATACTATTTCTATTTTTAGAAGTACAATATTAAGCAGGAAATAAACCTTTCTTTTTCAGATAAAAATAAATATTTAACAATGTCAAGCCATGCAGTTATATGTAAAAGATGATCAAGGCAATGATCCAGAGAATATTCAGAAGATTCTTTAATCTAGCAGTTAATTGGAAAGATTCTCACCCTGACTAACTATATATACTGATACCTGTGAACTAAGCTACTGCACTGCAGAAGGTAATTTGTAATAGTGGTTTCATGTTGGGAGTGCCTGTCATTGTGGTATTCTGAACATGGGCAGCTTGTCATGACATGCCAGTTACTGCTATGATGTCTCTCGGGTAGATGGATGTTCAAGAAGAAGGGGGTGGTAAATGAAAGCAAGAGACAGGAAAAGGAATATTGTGGGACTGTCCTGCTTCAAGGTTGTATATGGTGAGATTTTTGGACTTATGTGCAAACATGAGAAGTATATAATTCTTTATCCTATTTTTAAAATATTAAAAAAAATATTTAAGGCTGGGGTTCTGTCACTTGTAGCTTAAAATGGGAAAAGTCTAAACCACAACAAGAACAAGGTTGACCGAATTCAGACATTAAGATGCTAAACTGAATATTAAAAGGAAACTAACTGAATTTGGAGAGAAGGGAGATGCTTTGAAAGAACTCTGTGCTGGATATAGGTGAAGAACATGGGAGGAGCAAATTCTACTGCAGTGTGCCACAGGTGAGCCTCATGGAGATGCTGTTTTATTTCTCCAGAAGTGTGTGATGCAGAGTTGGGATGAGGAGGGGTGGGGAGTGAAGGAGCAGAAGAGCAAAGGTAGGGTACATGGACCAGTATAACAGCTTAGAGACTTGATCTCTATATAAACTACTTTAATGATGGATTTGAAGCTGATACACTCTTTGGTGATAAGTGCAGGGTCATGGGGCACATTTTTCACATGGGAGGGGATGTGAATTGTTGAAAGCAAGATAGAAAAATGAAACTCGACCTCTCTTCCCTCTGACAGCCAGAGGGGTATCATCTGATGGACAGCCATCACACCCCTTTCCTTTCCCTGCCCTTCCCTCCCCTTCCCAGCATGGCCTGGGGCAAGCTGCCTTTGTGCTAGCTGGGTCATCCCTGACTACCACCACACATCCCCTGCCCCCAGCTCTGGGCCACTGCTGTTGCCCCTCTGAGGAGATATGGAGGGCTGCACCTGACAAAGCAAAGATCAGTGAGGGACTGGGGGCCAAGCCTCCAAATCCCAATGAGTCATGATGAATGCCTCCTGGACACTCCTTAAAAACAGCAGAAGACATGATTTCAACCCCTGCCATTTTCACAGAAATAGGCAGTTGAGCCACTGCTTCTCCCACAGCTCAGTAAAGCTGTTACTATCACTGCTGAGGCTGTCCTAGATGTCCCAAGGCTGCTCTGGGAGATACTTGCTTTTGCTAGGACAAGCCTGAAACATGGACCTACTCCAGATGACTCTGCCTTGCAGCTACTCTGGATGACAGCCATGTAGTCTCTTCAGATGACCCCACCTCCATCATTACTTCAAAAGTCCCCAAAAAGGTGTGCAAAATATTAACAGCTGCACACATGTAAGCCACTCTCACTATTCTCTACGTGTGCAGGATTCCCACACGTTCCTGGGATAAGCCTCAGAGGGCTCTGTGCACTATCCCACTATGCTGCAATATAGGTCCCAATAATAGCCTCATCCCAGTGGTTCAACTGTCTACCCAAGATTCTTATCTTGGGTAAAGTAGGCTAAGTGGGTTGTTTCTAGAAAGACCTGTAACAATAAAGTCTATTACCCTTGAAGAGTTCCAGAGACTGGTTTGAGCTGTAGGGCTCGAACCACAGCAACCTGAGCCTGACAGCTTTGTTGAAGCAGTCACTTAAAGAACTGAGCTAAGGGGCAGGCCCCCCTAGAGACTGGTGGAATAAGAAAGAACTAAGAACAGTGGAGAGAGGTGGAGACCAGTAGTGATGTGCAGAGATTTGCAATGACCTATAGAGAGCCTTAAAGTCATTAGAAACTACTGGAAAAGCTCCAGAAAGCTACCAAAGAGGCTATGAGCCCAGGAAGCAGAGGAGTGGATAAGGGTGTGTAAGCGCCATCAGGAGCTACAGTACTAAGAGCTGAAGAGGCACAGGCACTCAAAACTCAGAGTTGTAATACTAAGGGCTGAGGGTTCACACAAAATTGGACCCAGGAGAGATCATATGCAGCAGAAAAACCTCTCTTCTAACTCAGAAAATCATGAGAAATAAATCATTGTTCTAAGCCATTGAATTTTGGGGTGATATGTCATACAATACATAACTAAAACAAACTTGCTAAGCCTCAGCCTCTAACTTTGTATCATGGGCCTGATGTTACAAAGTTGTGGTGACCATTACATAAGGCTGATTACAAACACTGCTGTTCAAATGTAAGAAACACTAGTTGTTGTGGTGATTAGTATTACAAACTGTTCAGGACATCCTCAATATAACCTCAGGTTCACCTTCTGTAAAGCCTTACTATCACAAGCATCTGCTGTGTCCAATCACATGGTTACCCACGACAAATGAAAGGGTTTTGTTTTGTTTGTGTGGCTACAATAGCTGAAAAATGGAACTCTGTGTCTAAAAGCAAAGAAGGTCCTGCTTAAGTTAGCCATCTTCTTTATCTGCCCATTCACGCAGTTGGTAAGCCCTTACTAATTCTCAGAAATCATTACAAAAAGCTAAAGATCCTTTTTTTTTTGGCGGAACCGGGGGATAGAACTCAGGTGCGCTTACCAGGGAAGCACTTATTCTACTGAGCCATCTCCCCAGCCCCTTCCCTTCTTTTAAAAAGAAAACATTTCCACCTGTGTAGCCATTAACAGAAAGTACTACAAACTTCAACTTTAGCAGGGAGAATCTGCAGCAGTAGATGAACCTGAAAGTATTCTGAAGAGAAAAAATTTCAATTTCCAAACAGAGCTCAAACATACTGAAGGGGAATACAAAATTCCAAGTGAGATTCCCAAATAATCCCAGATTATCAAATTCATTGTGTTTCAAAGCAACTGAGTATTGTATCTTCTCCCCAGACTCTTGCTTCTAGCTCTTTCCCTCACTCTGTGCTTCTTGGCTGCTATGAGGTGAGTAGCTCTATCCTGCCATACTCTCTGTGATGTTTCTGCCTCATCATTGGCCTAAAAACGATGAAGCCAGCCAATCACGCATAGAAACCTCTGAAGCTTTGAACTAAAATAAACCCTTCCGTCCTCCATTAAGTTGATTTTTCTCAGATATTTGGCCATAGCAATTGAAATGACTAATAACACAAACTATCAGAATTCTAATCTGGAATGTGCTGCTTCTAGTTGAGTGACCTTCTATTAATCATTATTCTTTAGTTACTTCCCTGTATAATGAGCATAAGCCATAGGATTGTTGCAAGGATTAAATGTATATGTTTACAAGGTTCTTACTAGAGCATTAGCAAATAATACACACTCAATAAGAATTAGCCATTTAAAGAGGAAAGAACTGTAAGAGAGGAATTACTGTATAAAGCCAGGAGTTACAAAATAGTCACTAAGACTGCTAGCACAGTGCTTCTCAAGATATTTTGTTTTTAATCCTTCACTTTTTGTAAAGGGCAAGATTACATATTTGAATGTCATGGGACTGTCAAATGACTCTAAAAGTTTCTAAGTGTTTACTTTCACTTTCTATACTTTTCATCATCCAGTAACCAAACACTGTTTATGGATTGGCATTTTTCTCAAGACTGAACTCAGTAGCACTGTTCTAGCACACAAAACAGACTCAAAAGATGACTAAAGACTCAAACAGCAGGTTAAATTATGAAAACAGTAAAGAAAACCAGCTCCAATAATAGGGCAAAAGATGACTTGAGGGTCAGTCAACAAGTTGACAGATAAAACAACCCCAACAGGTGAAACCTGAAATGCAGAATTGGCTGTTTAATCAGGGCAGTATTCTCACCCCTGCCAATGCTGTAAGAAGGTGACCCTGAGAACCTGTTGGCCAGGAAGTCACCAATCCCAGAGGGGACAGAATGAAAGAGGTCGGCAGAACTGACTTGAGTCTCTTGAGTGGGAAGCCACCTGCAGCCATCACAACTAGTATTAACCACAAGCCAAGCAGTTTTGTCTCTGCCAAAGTAACCATACAAACAGTTTCTTTGGTGACATGGGATAACACACATACACAGCTACATATTCACAGATACCCACCTGTGGTCTTAGGAGGCTCCTGAGGTCCGCCTTGCCAGCCATACTGTGGGTATCCTTGGTAGGGATACCCCTGAGGCGGTGGGTAGGGCCCTCCCATAGGCCCCATTGCTGGTTGTGGATAAGGTGGGTATGGAGCCGTTGGGCCTGGGCCCGGATATGGTGGAGGGTTCTCTGGGTTCATCACAGACCTGTACAGGGCATATACAAGAGACAAAAAGAATGAAAATTATTTGCATCTAACACATTCACAATCAGGTGGTACATGCAAGACTGTCCCATCATGGTGCAGTTCCACTGGGCAGCCTATATTACCCAATGGAACCATCCTATAGCACCTGATAGAACTGTCCTGCATGTATCAATGGTGGTTCAAGCTGGTGGAAACGTGTTAACTTTTGGAAATGATTAGTCCTCAGCAGTTTGCTTCTGTGAGGAAGGCTATGCTTTCTAGTACCCAAGACTGCTGACCATTTTCTTGACTGAACTGAAAGCTTTGAGGGTCAACATCTTCTTTCTACCACTTTTGTCATCACCACAGTGATTGCCAGATTAAAAGTAAATAAACCATTCCTGGGGAAAAGTATACACTTTATGCATGATCTACACAGCATGATGTGTGTCATGTTGCTTCCCATCTCCTGTCTCCATATTTAATTTTTTTACCAATTTCAATGTCTCCTATCCCCAGTTAAACAGTGAAAGTCTCACATTCAGATAATTTCACTGTTCTTTTTCATAGCACACAATCAATAAATTCCCAAGTGACTTTATATGAAAGAATAGTCATAAGGTGAAAATTAATGGTGCAATTCATTGGTTGCCCACATAACATCCATATTCTCCCTTCCTAACAAAGTCAGATCTTCAGCTATGTATGCTTTCATTCTTCCTGTGGTTCACAGGCTTCCTCACATCCTGTCTGTATAAGCCAATCCAGGTCACTACCTCTCCTTTTTCATTATGACTAATTCAAGGTATCCAGAAGTAAGCCAATCACAAGCAGCATCGCCTGACCACTGGATTGGTTCAGAAATGGTTCAATCAGTAAAAAATTCTAACACTACTATCTTCTCCTCTTAAATAAAATGTCCAGAAAATATGTGCTCCACAAAATTCCTGACAGTCAATCTACAGCCCTGTCAGCCTTAAGATGAAGGCTTCAGAAAGACACAACAGAAAGAAGAAATGGAATTCCAGATAATTTTTAACTGTGCATAAATCAAAGACTGAGTCCAACCTAACCCAATCTGCTTCTATAAAGTTTCCAGCGCTGGGAACCAATGGCAAGGTAAGAGAATGAGCCTGTATGAGTAATGTTTAACCAAACATGCATTTATGCAGTACTGATTCAGTGCCTAAGTAGGGGGAAATAGGTATGAATAAGGCTCAAACCCTTCCTTTGCAAGTAGTTAAGAAGATAAAAGGACAAGGGTTTTTAGAAAAACAGTCAACAGACTGTTGGCATAGGGCCTTAAAAACAGCAGAGGCAGTGGGGGTGGAGAAAAACTCTTGAAGGAAAAGATTAAAATTTAAAAGTTTGTATTGTGGAATTAGGATAGCTTGAGAGTCTCTTTTTTTTTTTTACCACAGATGCATTCTGCCCCCATTTTAGAGACTCTTATCGTGAAAAAGGACTAAAAAAAAAGAACATTTCTGATCTCTAGTCTACCTAACACAGCCTGATCAAGGAAGTCTTTCCCCTTCTCCTAATCAAGGGGCAAAGTTCCCAGTGACTGTAACTACTACTATCACCTGAATTAACATAGGTAAACGCTGGCCATATCTGCATTTTTTTTTTCTTCTGTCCTCTGTAGAAAACCTAGTGAGCCTTGATTAATACAGTCTCATTAACCCTCCATCTAACCATTCCATTATTTATTTTTAAATCACAGAAGTTAAACTTGGCCCTTATAAGGACTCGATCTTGAAAATCATGTGTGTGACCTAATTTCATTAAAAATGTAGTCAGCCATGTTCAGTCTAACAAGATTTTGTAGTAATGATCAGTCTCATTCTGTACAAAGTCTGGACCTACATTTTGTTCTAAGAACAGCTAGCAGTGAGCAGAAGAAAGAATAAAGGGTTTGAAACTAGGACTTCAGGCCTCCATGTTTCACAACTTTTTCTTTTCTTGAGACAGGGACTTGCTATACAGCTCAGCCTAGGTTTGAACTCCTGATCCTGCTGCCTCACCTTCCTGGTTGTTGGGATTACAAGTGTATGCCAACACACTAAATTGCCTGACTTTTCTTGATCCACATGTTTGCAACTATTCCTCATTATTCTGTTCAGTTTTCTCTCTGGGGCCCCCAAAACTCTTTCAAGGATATATGTCTTTCCTTTCAATCATCTTCCCCTTTATTTTTAGTAGGTGTTTTCCCATCTATCTGAGAAACTGCGTAATATCTAGGGGAAAGATCTCATCCGCTGTTCACACTGGCACTAATAAAAAGGATGAACTACAGAGGTGCTCCAGCCACCACAACCCCCTCTCATATATGCTCTTTTCCTGAATTCCCAAGAGTCATCTTAGAGGAATAAAGACCTAGTTCTGTTTTCAGTTTCTTCTAAGCAGGAAAAAGTCCTAACAAGAAAACAGCAAAAGTCACAGAAAAAGGATGAGGTGAATCAAAGATCTTAGGGCTGGTATTTGAAAAGCAGGCCTTCACCCAGTGAGTCAATGACTCCCAAAATGGTAAATAGGCAAAACAAAGTAAAAAAAAAAAACATTATTTAATACTGACACAGTCTAGTGCAAACTATATAAGAAAACCAAAATACAAATGAATTTTAAATTTAAGGTATGATACTGAACTTTGTAACATGAGTATCTTCCCTTATAAATTAGGTCAGGTAAAAAGCAAACCCTACTATACTGGAGCATTATACTAAAGACCAAACATAAACAGTGGAAAATGTAGCCTTAAAGACAAATCAGACCTTTCCAAAGGGCAGCTCAAATATCACAGCAATCAAGAGCCATTAACAAACTACTGAACACTACTATCCCATGATCCCATTCAAGACATGCTCAAAATCACAGGATTAGCAGTCATTCAACCATGCAGTGAGAAGTTCTTTTTGAAAGTGGTTCAGGGAGGTAAGACACTAGAAAAGACCTCATCACAGCAGAGATCCTGGAAATAAAAAATAATATATAACTTAAATGACTCACCTAATCATCCAAAATAAAGTTACTGTGTATAAAATTTCTAATTGACTTTTTATTGCTCATACATAAATTAATGAAAAAGATTATCAGACACTGGAGGAAAGCCTTCAACAAAAAAGACCAAAACAAAACAGGAAAAAAATACCCTACACATCCAACCAGCATATGGTGTGGTGTATGCCTGTAATCCCAGCACTCAGGAGGCTGAGGCAGGAGGATTGCCACAAGAGGATCGAGGCCAGCATGATCACAGTGAGCTCAAAGAGCAGTCCCTCTCACTCACCTACACAGTGTTCAAGGCCAGCCTCGAGACCCTATTTTTCTCAAAACAAAACAAAATAATAAAACAAAAAACAGGGACCAATGTTCATCCCAGCTTCCAAATGCAGCACCAGCCCCACCCCCAGGGCATGTTAAGCCTGTAATCCCAGCACTGGAAAGGCTGAAAATAAGTGGATCACTACAAGTCCAAGCTGTGCAGTGAGACTCTATACCAAATACATAAAATACATATAAAAAAATTGGTGCATCTATTAATAGCTGTATGGATTTTTTTGGATACAACTTGTGCGTGTGCATGTGCACACACACGTGTTGCTAGGCATCAAACTCAAGACCTCATGCCTTGTAAGTAAGCAAGTGCTATACTCCCAGCTCTTGTTTTAAATGTATGCCTTGGAGTACAATGGCATATTATGTAAGAAAACTTTTTAATCAGCCAGATTCAGCACCACCTGTAATTCCAGCTACTAGGGAGGCTGAGGTAGGAGGATTGCAAGTTTGAGGTCAACCTGAATAATTCAGCAAGACCTTGTTTCAAAAACCAACCAGCAACCAACCAAACCAAACTCTCATAATAAATAAAAAGGGATAGCAATGTAGCACAGTATGAGTCCCAAAGTTCAATCCCCAGTACCACAAAACAAATTCTATAGCTATATAGTTAGCTTGATCCAAGCTGGTTTTAAAACAAATATTAATAAATAGATTAATATAACAGAAAGAAGAGTCCTAAAGCAAGTTCATACAGTATAATCATCCAATTTAACAGAAAGGCACCCCTGCAGTTCAAAAAAATAAAAGGTAGTATTTTTTAAAAAGTCTGGATCAATTGTATAGCTTGAGGGGGTTAGCCTTGATCTCTACCTTTATATGCACATCCACAAAGTATCAAAGACTATAAATAAAAGCTAAAGCAACCAATCAGTGATAATGTATGCAGCACAGGACTGTGTACTGAAGGAAATGGAGAGCATAGACCCACCAATGACATATATGAGAATGTTCGAAGCAGCCGTGGTTCTAACAGCCCCAAACAAAAAACCATTCAAATGGTCACCACCAACAGAACAGAAAAGTTCTGTTTATACAATAGAAAACTATCCAGCAATAAAAAAAGAACTACGGGCTGGCCAGATAGCTCATCAGATTAAAGCACATTTGCCTAAACAGATGCAAACCCAGCATGCTGTGCCATGCTGGCCCTGCCCCTGAGGTGCGCACAGAGGGTGATTGAGACTGGATGTGGCGGCATGCATTTTTAATCCCAGCACTTCGGAGGCTAAAAACAGAAAAACAGGAGGATCACTACAAGTCCTATCTGTGTAGTGATATCCTGTAGACCCTGTACTAAATACATTAAAAAAAAGAACTAATACTACATACAATAACAAAATGAATCCCAAAGATAAAGATGAGTGAAAGAAAACAAACTCAAGAACAGGGCATGGTCATGCACACCTGTAATCTCAGTGCTTAGGAGGCTGAGCCAAGAGTATCACTTTAAATTCAAGGCCAGCCTGGAATACATAGTAAATCCCTGTCTCAACACACACCAACAACAGCAAACAAAAACAAAAAACCCATCAACTAACTGCAGTATGTTTTTAATTTTATGGAAAAGGGTAAAACAAAATTTCAAAACAAATAATAGGAAAATAACAGTTAATACATTACATACTGTTATCTTTAAAATAGTTGTACAGGGTATAAGGGCATAAAAATTTCTCCAATCAA